CCCAAAAGAACTTGCGCTTGTTGGACCGAAGCACGAGATTGTCCGGTGTTCGTATTTTTCATGCCCTCATTATAACCTAGGAGAGTTCCGTTGATGTTCGAAGCCACAACTGGAACGTCGATCCATCCGCGAACTTCCAACCATATCACCTTCTCTGCTGTCGCAGATAGCGAGCGCGCCAAGAAGCTTCTCCTTGCTCCAGAAACAAAGGAAGAAGGGCATTCCTCGTCCCACATCGTTATCTTTAGGGACAGCACCAGCAATCATTTTAGTTTTTTCTTTTCCTCTACAAAAGACTATGGAACCAAGGGCCTTGGTTCGCTGAAGGACCCCACGACCATGTACGCTCATATGTGTCCCTCTAATGTCGGTGAAGTCAAGTGTACTTCTAGCTTCCCTGCAATGTCTTCCTCATTCTGTACCTCTCTCGATTCGTCCGTCGGCGTGTGTCTCTCGTCTGCCGGTCTGCAGCCGCGAAGGCCCGCGGGTCTAACCTGCGGGTCCACTTCAAGCACATGCGCGAGGTGGCGCACCTGATCAAGGGCATGAAGCTGTCCAAGGCCAAGGTGTACCTGCAGGTGGGAATCGCGGACGTGTGCCGGTTGATTCAACTTACATCAGCCGAAACGTCGATGCCTTGCACCCTCATTTGTCTGCGTGGTCCTATTTTCTGCACTGTCTGTCTGCCAGTTCCCCATTCACCTAAAGCAGTCGAACGTGGATGTTTTTTTGCACCCTCATCTGTCTTGACTGTCTGCGTGTTCCCCATCTGTTCTTGCATATGCAACACCCGACCTTTTTTGTGTTGAACTTGGCACAACTGCTGTCCGACGGATGCCCCAGCTGTTCTACACAGCCACTTTTTAGGCGACATATACTCGCTGTGGTCGTCGCAAGAGATCAACCTGCACAAGGGCACTGACTCCAGTCTTCCTTCCGAGACAAGTTAATATTTGTTGAGCCCTTCTGTTTCCACCCCTGAACCAAACACACACTGTAAAGGGAGTGCCCGGTGTTCCTGGTCGATAATTCCTCTCATCTAGTTGCAGCTTCCCGTCATCCCCTACCCGCTCTTCCAACCGCATAGTACCTTATTTCCGGTTGCACTTTTTTGGCTGCTACACAACGTGTTCACCGCCAGCTGACCGGTTATGCGTCCGTCGCTCGCCCTCGTTTTTTTTAGGACGTACTCGAGTACAAGCGCGCGGTGCCCTTCACCATGTTCACCGGCGGCGTCGGCAGGCACGCTCAGGGCAAGCTGCCTATCGCTAAGGACTACATGGGGGACCCGTCCAGCAAGACGGTGAGAAAGCAACTCGCCGGGGAGCGGGGGAGTGAAACGGGGG